ATGAGGTCAACTGTTGGGTGTTTCTGAGTTTTTTTGAATTGTGTGCTTCACCTCTCTGTTAGGGCGAATTATTACGTTCGGTCACCGGACGTCCGGACACCCAATCCAGACGCGCCATGTCATCCGAATGCACTGAGTTCCAGTATATTTTGATGACGTGGTGCTTCTGGATTGATGTACAGACGAATCTGAACACCAGACCTAATAATTTGCCCTCTGCTAGAGATTTCGTTATCTCAGATTTTGGCCTTCTTTCTAATTGGGTTTTCGTAGCTACTTTTGGCAATGAACTTTTTGTGTTAATTATTTTGTGCTAATGTGGTCATCTTAACTTGACATGGTTAGTGGTTCTATCGTTTATATTGTGGTTGATGGCTAATGTTTGACTATCTATTTGAGCGGACCATGGGCGAATTTAGCGCAAGATCATTTGGGGCATATATTTATTCTGAGTAAAAAAAATCATGTTTCTAATATCATCTCTATTAATTTTGGATTTTAAAGATAAAGGGATAGAGTATAAAAAATAAAGCGAAAATGTTGAAGATTAGATCATAGGGCATTTAATTAAGAATAATAATAAAAATATTTTTGAGAGTAAGATTTTAGATAATAAGATTTTGTGTGTGCATAAGGAAGTCAATCTTATAACCTATATTAAACATTTAAATAATAATTCAGGAGTGATTCTATGTCTAATTTATAAACCATCTTAACTATGATATAGATATTATTGTGATTTAATTACGATAATTTTTCTTAATTTTATGAGTACCGTAGATATTAAAACAAAAAAGTATTATAACCCCAAATTGATATGCATGTATCAATACCAGTGAATTTTCTGAGACTATTACATGATTATTTTGTGAACCTATTTCACTAAACCATTCTAGATATGTTGGCTATGTTATAAATATTTTTTTTTTATAATTTTTGGATTCCAAATCGAAAGATATAGAAGAATTTATATGAAATTTAAAGTAAAACTTAACAACTGAAATAAGTACAAAAATGCCCTTAACATATTTTATTTCTAAATATCCTAATCCACTACCGAAGCTTTTCATATGTCATTTTCTCATTTTTATTTTTGTTTTCACTTAAACCGAAGAAGGAAAAAAATAAAAAAAAGGAAATTTAAAGTTGTCCTCCTTATTAGTAATAATGACTAAGAGTGTTATAGAGGTCAACATAAATGTGATGTCATGAGGAGGTGATTGACTAAGGCTTTAGAGGGAGCCAAACCAAAAAGCTAGGTGAATGTACATTAGGGTTTCTATGGCTTGTAATGAATTGGAAGGGTTGAGTAATATGTAGAGTTTTTTTTTGAAAAAAAACTCTCTTTGAGACATACGCATTTAAAGCAGTTACATGCATGAGCTTAAAGGGGTTTAAAGTAGCTAATGCTCACAGGGTTACATACAAAAGGAAAATAAAACTTAATAGCTAAAGATCTCTACTAAATTAAAATGAAAGGGAAAAAAGATATCTGAAGGGCGCAGGGAAGGCCAAGAAAATAACTCCAGCTAAAACAAAACAGAGTAGCCTCCAAAAATAGACAGAGCCAAGATGTAGGATGAAAATCCCAAAGAAGATAATTAATCCAATTGCAAAGCATACCCGCAATAATAAAATACCTCCAAACATGCAATTAACTAGGGAGTGAATAATAGAGGGAGAACCAAAATGCACTAGTAGACACGAGAGGACAAACAAATCAAAAGAACCTCCACAAAGCAAACACCAACAATGACAGCAGCACTCCAATCAGTGTATAAGAGGAAACACGACCCATTGCAAGTCCCAAAAACTTAAATAGAATCCCTAAGCACTCGTGGCAAAGAGAAGATAAATAATCTACGACAAAAATCAATCCACCGCATAATTAAACAGCCAGCCAACCACGAAACAAACCAATATGCATACAAGCTCAGCCACAATGAATTAAAAAAGCACTATACATTAGAAGAAAAAATAAGAGCAATTTTAGAATTAGAAGAATTACCGATCATATATTTAAATATTTGCATCTTAGAAATTTTCTTTCTAAACACAGTAGAGAAGCCTTCTTTATCAACACTTATAATATTCAGATATAAACCATCCTGTAAATGCAAACAACTTTCCACATTAACCATCCCTTTAGACTTAATAATTTTCGATAGTTCAGAATCCAACCAGTCTGACTAGTCGATAAACTTTCCAATAGAATGAGCCTTTAATTGTTGTTGCCCCAAATTCATAGAAACTAAAGCTTCATCATATATAAGTGAACAAGGAATACTAAGAATGGGAGACATCTATATAATCAAAATCATTCATATGAGCCACTTTGACCTTATAGGGGTTAGCCACAATAGCCATAAAAGGAGTTGAAGGTCAAATAGTAGTAGCCAAATTAGTATCCCCAAACCAACAATACCTGAGGGCAAAATAATAACATTGTCACTAACTCGTTACAACAAATTAGGAGAAATAACAAGTTGGTTATTTGCACTATTGGAAGCAAAAGCAACCAAAGTTTAATCAACCATTGCATTAATAAAAGAAACAATAATCAAAGTATCATAAGCAACAATAGTACCAACAACATCATTAATAGGTTTCAACATAAGATTTACAGCCGTTGAGAATAAATTTTTCACATTTTCTTAAGCCACTACATTAGAACAACCCTTAAAAACTAAGTTATTGTTAACCATACTAGCAACAGTCACATATTCGAGTTTCATAAGATCATCAACTAAATGGGGATGCATGATACAACATTCCACTCTCAAATGACTTAAAGATTTGCAATTAATGACCACAAAATGGAGAAAACTCCTCTATCTTAACTTTTTGTATGTAACCTAAATTATCAAGGCCAAAACAAACCCAATTGGCGATACGCTTGGTGATAGAAAGCTCAACAAGAACACGAGTTACAGAAGGCTTAGCATTATCTATTTTTAACGGTCAGTCAAACAAAGACCTTAGTTTGTGAAGGATAAAGGGAGAGAAGAGAAGTGGTAGAAGGTTAGGGAAGGATGTAAAACCCTTCGAAAAGCTGATTTTTTTTAGTGCAGTTCGTCTGTACGAACTGGATTTAGTACTGGACGAATTGAAGAAATTTGTGAAGAAATCTGTCATTTTCGTCTGTACGAACCTAACTGGAATGGATTTATTGATCAATACTGTCGACGAATCCTTTCACTATGGATGCCTGGGGCGTCACAAAGGAGACCCATATAAAAATAATTGGGGATTCCACATCGATATCAAAATATGTGGGCCACTTGAAGATTTTCATATAGCAATTACTAACAAAATACAAACGATGTGAGAAAACTCTGATATAATCCAAGTCATTTGCCAATTTGATCAAAACATGTTTTGGATTCAAAAGAATGAAAGAGACTTTAGCGATGAGTTTAAGGTTAAAAAAGAATTTGCAAATCAAGTCGAGGGGAGGTCTCTGAGTAAGAAATTTGCTAATTAAAGAAAATTCAAAAGGTGATGCATGAGCTAGTATCTCCTCCTCTGAAATCCACAACGAAGACAAACTGCGATGTGTAGTGATTTTGAGATCAGAAAAAGCCATAGAGGAAGACGCCACTGACATGTCATCTAAAAATGAACGAAATTTTATTTTTCCATTCAAAAGTCCTAGATCATTTAAGCGATTGATCGCCATCTAGTCGAAGAACAGCCTAGGTTGAGAAATTGGGAGAACAACCGTAAAATCTAACAAGAAAGCCTAATAGAAGTAAAGAAGAATAAGTGGAGCAACTTCCTTGAGAGCGGCATCAACATCTAGGGGAGTGACGGGCAACGCCACCAAGGCGCATGGATAGGGCGAAAACCCTAGCAGAGCCATTGTATGTAGAGTAATGTTTTTTAGTATATGAAGATGTTTTTAGGATATAGGGGCTTGTATATGGGAAAATCCTAAGGCCATATTCATATTAAGCTAATCCAAGCCAAGAGCTCAAATTAGGGTTTTAACTTGTCTTGATGGGTGTAGAGGCTATCAAAATGGAATATAGATATGATAGGAAGTACATATAAGGTTAATATAGTGAATTAAATGTCAAGGTGAGGAATATAACTCTTACTATTTTAAAAAGAAGCAAGGAGAAAAATGCCACCAAGAAAAATCCCTACAATTTTTTATCGACATACAATCAATTCTTTCATTTCTTCACGAGAACATATTTATAAAATCTTATATGAAGCAACTTACAAAAAAAAAAAATCAAAGGGATAGAGGAGTTAGGGCTAACCCATTTGATGGCGTGTAAGTTGGTTGATGAACCCTTTGATGAATGGGTGTGCATCTTCACTCCAAGTAGGAATGTGGATGGCCACACTTGATGTGATAGTATTATTTTAATGCAGCTATCTCTTATTTCAACTTAGATGTTATTTTCTTTATAAATTAAAATTAAAATTGTAATTTAAAAAATTCAAAACTTGGCTAATATAATTTAAAAGATTGCCTTTTACTTTTGGTTCTCTTGGTTACTTTTTGCCATGCTCTATTTGCTCCATGTGCTATATCATTTCTGTTGAACCTCTTAGAAGTACTCTTCTAAAGGGTTAAAGTCAAAGCAACTCTTCACCAGAGCTCATGCAATCTTCTCCAATTCATCTCTAGCAAACATGTCTCTTCGTTTGGATCAATTATTTTGTACATATACCAAATGCCGTCCGGAAATCAATCAAAATGCTCCACATCACCCTGTTCTCGGTACTATTCGGTACCGTTGATATGACGCATTATGGTTGGTCTCCGGACGACATTCTGCATCCGATCTCCGCCCAAAATAATTCTCCCTCAATTCCTCATTTGCACTTTCATGTCATATTCACATTCTCATGTATGCATATTTTTTAATCTAATGTTCACTTATACAATTGATATGGACAAAATTTTATCATATATTTAAATAATAATTTTAATTTTTTTTTCATCCCTTCCACAAAGCTTATACCTATATATACACCACCATAGAGCAGCTATATATTTCAAACCTCACAACTCATCCTTTATAACCTTGTAATAATCCCATCCCCATGAGACCCAGCTACTGCCTTCTCCATTTCACTTTCTTAACTATCTTCCTTCTGACTTCCTTACCACCTCCCTCCTCCTCAAATGAACTCAGCCTCCGTCTAGAGCTAACCCATATTGACGCCGGCCTCAACCTCACCGTCCACGAACTCCTCCGCCGAGCGGCTGCAAGAAGCAAGACCCGTATGGCCCAACTGGCCCGGTTTGCCCATATTCGCAAAGGAGGACAGGGCCAAGCACCCGTTTTTTGGGGCCGCGCAGGCGGATACGAAGGAGAGTACCTGATCAATTTCGGCGTCGGCACTCCCCCGAGAAACTTGCCGTTCATCGTCGATACGGGAAGCACCCTCGTGTGGACCCAATGCAAGCCCTGCCGCAAGTGCACCAGTCAACCCGTCCCACTGTTCGACCCGAAAAAGTCGTCGTCTTTTTCCAAACTCTCTTGCTCCAGCAAGCAGTGCGCCGCCCTCGGCTCAGCCTACTCATCCCAATGCTCCGCTAACCCTGAATGCCACTTCGACTATAGCTACGCCGACGGCAGCGAAACCATCGGTTACATCGCGTCTGAAAAAGTCACTTTCCACTATTCTTCGGAGCCACCGCTTTCGGTGCCGCAATTCGCCATCGGCTGCGCTAGGATTAATCAGGGCACCATGGCTAGTTCCGCTGGCACCGCCGGATTCGGCCGGAGCGCGGAGTCGCTCGTCTCTCAGCTCGGCATCACCCGCTTTTCATACTGCTTTATTCCCTACATCCCTATAAACGCTAAGCGCAGCCGAATGTTCCTGGGCAACGCCGCGTTGTCAAGCAGTCGGGCCCAGTCAACCCCGCTCTTACCAGACGATATTTTCTACTATGTTTCTCTTGAAGGCATAACGGTCGGGTCCAACCGGCTTCCGTTTGGGCCTGGTTATTTTGGACGGAAAAAGGACGGGAGCGGCGGCACCATTTTTGATTCGGGGACCTTCAATACGATTTTGTGGACTGAAGTGTTCAATGCCGTGAAGAAAGCCTTTGTGTCGGTGATAAAGTTGCCTGTGTCGGAGAACACGCTCGGGGCGGACTATCAGCTGTGCTTCGACACGCCAAGGAAGAGGTTCTCGCCGGAATCGGTAAAGATTCCGAAGCTAGTATTGCATTTCAAGGGAGCGGATATGGATTTGCCAAGGGAGAATTACGTTGTGTACGATGCCAATGAGAAGTTGCTCTGTGTGCTGATTGAAGAAGAAACTGATCAGTCTGCAACGAACATCATCGGTAATTTCTATCAGCAGAACATGAACGTGCTTTACGACCTCAAGAACCAGAGGCTGTCCTTTGGGCCGGCGCAGTGCGATCGGCTTTGAACTCCCCACCTCCTATGCATTATATATATTATATATAACGGGATAAATAAAAAAAGTTAATCTTATTTTATTATACAAAATGATTTTTTTAGAGTAATAATTGATAAATGTGTCAAAATGGGTTAATAAAGGGTAAAAAAGATAGACCCGAACTCGACCGCTCAATAACCCGAATGACTTGAACCTTATATACATCATAACCCATTTTGAATAAAAAAAAGGTCTGGTTTTGATCCAACTCAAAATTGACATGATTTAAATTCAATTTAATCAAACCCAACCCATTTAATTAATTGGTCAAATTCGAACTTAACCTTGATAACACGTAAGACCCGATCCTTACCTGATAACCTATTTTGATTTAAAAAATTTGTAATTTGTCAACTATATAGTTTAGACTAATTGATCAATAATTCACAAAAATAAATTAAATAGGTCATTATCTGATCAAAATCAAATCATTTTTAAGTTTGTGTGATAAACTGAACTTGACATGCTAATTAAATGTGTTTAAATTCTAAATTAAAACCCAATTAGTTTATGAAATGAGTTAACCTCAATCCAAGATTTTTTCAGCTAGGTATTTGTTGAATTATCGGATACACTACAAAAAATTCACTCATTACCGGCGGTTAACTCATGTTTTCCGACGGTTGTGTAAAAAACCGACGGCTTTTCGGCAGTTTTCGAACCGCCGGAAAAAACGGCACCGGATACCATTACCGACGGTTTTTTCACCGATGGTGTTCCGGCGGTTTATATCGTCGGTGTTTTTACCGGTGGCTCCCCGGCCGTCCAACTGCTGGTAAAAATACCGTCGTTCGACCGCCGGTACATCGCAGGGAAAAGTACCTTCATAATTCGAGTTTACCTTCAACTCCCTCTCTAGTCTTATCAACATGTAGAATATCATCAACAAAAAGCATACAACTAGGTACATCCTCTCGCAAATGTCTACTTAATTAGAAAATCCATGACTAAAGCAAAAATACATTGGCTACATCCTCTCGCAAATGTCTAGTGAGAACATCCATGACTAAAGCAAAAAGATATTGACTTAAGACTGATCATTGATGAAATCTAACCCAAATCACAAACATCAACAAGTAAAATATCATAAATAAAAATCATACAACAAGGTACATCCTCTTGCAAATGTGTAGTGAGAAAATCCATGACTAAAGCAAAAAAATATGGGCTTAATTAGAGCTATTCCTTGATGTAATCCAACCAGAATAACAAAAAACGACGCTGGAAAATTAAAAACGGAAACCTCCGATCGAGGAAGGTGACGCGCATGGGACCGGTGAGAGCCCTTCGGGATTGCAGTGGAGAGCTCGTTGACGGCCGGTAGGACCTCGTCGGCGGCTTAAATCTTCTCGGTCACGAGAGGGCGGGCGGAGGAGAGGCGACGAGCGCAGCGTAGGTGAGAGAGAGAGAGGGATATGGAATGAAATGGGAGGCTCAGGCTGGTTGATTTTTAGGGCTTTTTTCGGCGGCCCAAACCGCCGGTATTAAAATCACTTAACACCGGCGGTTCTAGCAGCTAGTAAGGCACTAGTAATTTTAAATACCGGCCGTTGAACCAGCGGTTTCTGGACCGCCGCTATTCTCGGCGGCTTATCCTTGCATAACAGCCGGGTAGGCCGCCGGTAATAACCGACGGTCAGACCGACGGTTAAGCCGTCGTTACTACCGGCGGCTGGACAACCACCGGTCCAGACCGTCGGTAATCAATGAATTTCCTGTAGTGATATGATCCTTTATTAACATCCTTAATATTTGATGAGTGCACGTGCTATTTTGTTGGTATCAAATTAGTGCTTGAAATATACATGCATATATTCCAAGATATTTATATAATATAATCAATATTAATGATTGCCTATGCATATTATATGTCATGTCATAATAATATATGTAGTGTGACCATTATGCTTAATATTTTATATTATCATTTAACAATAACAGACAATGGTGTTATTTTGATATGTATTAAAGCTAGTACTATCAAATGGAATCAATTTCAAAATGTGTAGGATTTAACAAGAAACATAGCATAGCATATAGGAATATATTCATGGAAAAAGCTTCATGAATTATGTAACATGCACATCACGAGCATAATGAATAATCTCTATGCAACAATAGGTGATATGATCAGTGAATATCATGGCATTATACCTCATTCCTATGCATGATAAAACACCTCATAACATTACATGAAAGTCGAATGCTAATTAAAATTTTATTTTTGAAAATAAATAAAAATATAAAAATATCAAAGTACCAAAAGTTACAAAATGAAAGCTATCATATAGCAGTATTGGTCTTAGGAATCAAAACGGCCTTTTGGTTAAGTAGTTGGGTCTAATTATGTATGCATGAGCTTAATTGCATACTCTAGATAGGTTCAAATGGATCCAAGGATTACATAGTTCGTTAAGGGCTAGCCTTAACCTATGGTATCTTTAGATAGATTCAATTAGGCTTAGGTTGGGCAAAATAAGTGATATGGTTGCACTTTAGAACAAATAAAGCCCTAGCCTAGGTTTGATAAGGTCTTATTGGTTCTACTTTTGATCAAATTGGCCTCAGGTTAGATTTAGCTTTGTTTAATGGGAACTTAAGGTTCCAATTGATGATTAAAGAATATCAAACATATAGTTGACTAAGATAGGTTTAGTTAGGCCTAGGCTTAAAGAATGGTCTCCTATTGGGTTCCATTAGTTTGAATTGAATACAACACAGACTAGGGTCACATCAAATCATCCTAAAAAGGTTTATTGGTTAGCCTAAGTCAAAAGTGTTGCCTAAATTCATTTATGACTAGGTTTGAGGTTTAATTGAGCTCACATGAGCTTAATTAGACAATTGTTTTAGTTTATGTCAAGTGGACGCTAGCTTGTGTCCAATAGTTTGTTTTCAAGACAAATTAGTTTAAACCTATTCGAATAGAATTTTAAAATATACTTTAGTGTGTTATGATACATGTTGATTTGTGGACTTGTAGAGTACAAGCTAATAGGATAGAGCAAGATTAGAGTTTAAAACACAAGACTCCATGAGGGCCTTATAAGTATAAATCTAATAAGTTAGAATTTAATGCACACATGTACAAACCTAAGATTATGTCAAGCTTTGTGGAATTAATATGATCCTGGGACTTCAAAAATAAGAATAGTGAAGAGCTAAAGGTAGCTAATGGTCACTCTTAAAAAATATACCACATGTGCTACATATAAAGAATTATATCAGGTTAAGATATAAATAAGATACAAACAGTGTATATATATATATATATATATATATATTGTATTATGTCAATTTGTAATGAGAAAAATCTTAACTATCTAATCAATATCAAGATAGTTTTGAATCAACCAAGTGCGGCTTGGAAGACTTAAATCCACTATGCATAAGGTCAAGATAAGTCTCTGATCGCCAAGAACTAAATTAAGTTGACATCCAATCTAGGGAGTCCTAAAGGCTTAAATCCACATAGATATATATCAAATGAACATACCACCATAGGGAGGTGTATGGAGACTTTATTCTACTTATAATTATATGGAAATTTCAATTGATAAACTTATTAGTATTTAAAAATGGCTAGAGTAGGTCAATATGGACTGAACTTGAAGGGGGCTATGAAGGCTTTATTTCCTACCAAGAATTTTAAATCAATGGGTAAATATAGAGATACCTAGCACTAAACTAGATCAGATATGAAAAACATCCCAGCCAAGTGTGGTTGTATAGCTTTCCACTAAGATTAAAAATCAAAACAATTGGTATTTGCTTCGGTATTGCTCGTATTGTCAGTTCTGCTAGGTATTGCATGGCAAATATGAGAAATACCGCTCTTGAAACCAAATATG